ATCCATCCATCCATCCATCCATCCATCCATCCATCCATCCATCCATCTGTCCGTTGTTTTTATCCGTTTCTTCCTTTTCGAGTTGCAGGGCGTCACTGGTGCCCATATCCAGGTCACAAGTCTATTATAGAAGACTGGATTCTTAAATGAAAAAAAAAAGATCATTTTGCCAATTTAAAAAAAGTAAAACAATGAACTGTGCAGGCTTATGTGATTTATTTTTATTTTTATTTAATTGTGGAGTAAATGAGTATCCTACTTTGAAGAAATAAAGCATAAAGTTAAATTGAGTATAATTTACTCTCTGTTTTAGTACTAGTGTCCACATATTTGCAAAGGAAACGACAGGAAAACTGCTAAAACTAGTCATTTTTTGTTTGTATAATTTCCTATAAAATTCAGTTTTATGTTAGTTTTGGTCAAAAATTGAGAGTCGCTGCGAAGGGACCAAAGAGCCACATGTGGCTCCAGAGCCGCAGGTTGCAGACCCCTGCTTTAGAAGTTCAACACATTAAAATACATGTAAGACGCTTATAACGACACTCCTCAACATTTTTATAGAACTTGTGCAGCTTCCCTCAGAGAATCATGTGATTTATGTTTATCTCTCAAAAAACTTTCATTGTACTTTTTAAAAATAATGTGTGATTCCTCTTTAAAAGTGAAACATTTCCTTCTAAAATCATTAAAATGTCCATTTTTAGGGGGTACAGGTCGTTGGGGGGGACAAGGCAAACCCACCTTTCATTGTTTCATTCATAAAAACAAATAAATAAATAAAATCTGCAAATGGCATCTAAACAAACAGCAGTAAGAAAAAAAAATAGGAGATAAATATGTTGCTTGTTTTAGGTCCCGCCATCGAATGGAGGCCTTTAGGTTCTCCATCCAACAGCGAGTTGCTTTTCTATGCCTAAATTAAACCCTAGTCTGGACCCAGCCACCCACAGAATCTGCCTCTGTCCCTCACGTTGACTCCGTCTTAAAGTGCAAATCCACAGGACACATACGAACCCATATTTATTCATAATGAACATAGTAAACGTAAGAAATTGTACCACTTTTGGGAAAAAAATTTAGTAATTTTGAATTTAAAGGCAGCAACACATTTTAAAAAAATGTGTCTGGTAACAAAAACTGTAAAAAGTTAGAGGTACAAATAATAGCTGAAGAACAATCGGGAACTAATTAGGTTAACTGGGAACAAGTGAGTAAGAGGACTAGAAAGAACAGTTTAGAGAGGCTGATGTCTCAAAAGTAAAGATTGGCAGAGGTTTGGAAAAACTGTCAGAAATAGCTTTGTCGTTTTATAATAATATTCCTTAATGAAATATTGGGAAGACTCAATTATCCCATTGTAATGGACTTGCAACAGTTCCAGTGTGTACCTTGCCTCACATAGAGACTGCTGGAGGTAAAGAAAATGGATGTATATCCAATCATCTAGTGTTCATAATATGAAAAATTTCAAGAATCTGGAGAGATCTGAGCTCAAAGATCAAGGCTTAAAGCCAACATTGGAAAGCTCATTAAAAATTAACTAAGGCAAAGTAAAAAAACAGTTCAGTACTCAGAAAAATCAGAGTTTAAATCCTTTTAGGAAACCAGGGTCACCATAAACTCTGGTCTAAAGAGGAAAGGGTTCATCTGCTGTGGTGCGCTGGTGCAGCAGGGTGAAGACAGCTGATGCCAACAGACTCGATAAACTCATCAAGAGAGCTGGTTCAGTTCTGGGAGTGGAGCTGCAGTCTCTGACAGAGTCTGAGCAGAGGATGCTGAGGAAACTGCTCCACATCCTGAACAACACGTCACACCCCCTGCACGACACCCTGGACTCTTGGACAATAAAATTAATCCTGCACTACAATAAACACTTTAATGTCTCTGTCTGCATCGGACCTGTTTTAGAACTTAACTGTTGGTATTTTTATTTTATCTGTTATATTTATATTATGTATTCCTTATGTTCATTTGGACTGAAACTCTGGCACAACAATTTCCTGCAGGATCAATAAAGTTCTATCTTATCTGATCTTATCTTATCCTGCCTGTTATGAGAACACAGTTTAAAAACCTGCCTTTCTGATGGTATGGGGGTGCATTAGTCCCTATGGCATGGGATGCTTGTACACATGTGGAAAGACATTATCAATGCAAAACAGTAAATATAGGGACACCCTCCCTGGACACATGTCCCTGGGTGCCTTGTATGGCAGCCCACTGCTTCACATGTGCAATGGGAAAAATGCAGAGAATTAATTTCCCCATTGGGGATTAATAGATTAAAATGTAAATAAAAATGCTGCGTATGATGTATATTCTGTATAAATTATGTTATGTATATATTATGTATACTTTAGAACACACTGTATGCGTCCAACCAGCTTCCAGTTTTCAGGCTCCTCTCTTATGGAACCAACTTCCAGTTTCTGTCCATGAGGCTGACACATTGTCCAGACTGGGCTTAAGACTTTGCTTTTTGATAAATCCTATAATTAGTGTCGGCTTGGGTTTCCTGAGCTGTCCCCTAGTTATGCTGCTATAGGCTTAGACTGCTGGAGGACAAACTGACCACACTTCTTCACTCTGCTGCTGTCTTTACTCTTCTCAACCTGTTTTGTATTTATATATTTTTCTATCTTTTTTTTTTCATTCATTCAACCTTTATTTAGACATTTATTTTTATTGAGCCTCGGGGACTCATTTACAAGAGAGACCTGATAAATAAAGTTAAAATATAAAAATAATAAAATAAATAAAGATCCTTGATGTGTTTTTGTCTTTCAGGTTCACGTGCACCAACATCTGGACCTGCCATTCTGTGTTCGTTTACTTACTCCTCCCAGTCCTCTCAAGCTCAGCTGGTCAAAGATGGCCGCTCGTCCTGAGCTGGTTCTGCTGGAGGTTTCTTCCTGTTAAAAGGGAGTTTTTTCTTTCCACTGTTGCCTTCGTGCTTCCTCAGTATGGGAGACTGCAACGAAGTGAACATTCGACGAGTCTGCTGGCTCCTTTAGATAGAGAACTTTTAGTAAATGGTTTTTGTATGTAAGTGAATGTTTCTGTTCAGTGCCCTGAGAAAACGTCTTTTGTGATTTGGAGCTATATAAATAAGCTGACTTGAATTGAAATGAAGTCTTTTTATATTTCAGGAAGACATCGTGAAAACACATTGCATCCATTACAACACCACCACACTCCTCTATGTGAGGCCGCCCATTGAAAACAGTTGGCACATCAAGAAATTAAAAATTTGGCAAAGTCCCCATTTAATATGTTCACTATGATCCTTTGAATAAATTATGAGTTCATGAGATTTGCAATATAACAGTTTGCTTTCAAGTTACATTTCGCACAACATCTCAACTTGTACTGTGTACTGGTGTTACCCTTAATTGCATGTGGCTGTACACAGTGCTTAGTAATCTTTTTCTTTCCATCAGGATGAGATAAAAATGGAAGGATGTCTGTTGAATTTCTAAACTGCTGCAGATGAAAAGTAATCTATTTTTTCATTATAAAATAAATGATACCCCACGGATGAGCCTGTGGTTCAGTGTTTGCTGATATTTAGTTATTTACAGATGCTTTAACAGGATCAGCAGCTCTAAATACAATGGTCTATCTTTATGTGTACACCTTAACTACAAATATTCTCTACATTTAATACATCTATTTGTAAAACCATTCAAGTCATTTTGGTGTGTGTGAACACGGAACACTTACTGCAACGTCATGTCTGTTTACACCACGAACAGAACAGTGGTCGTTCAACCATCATCTCTGGATTATTCACAAGACCAGAGTCACGACTGGTTTGAGCCAAACACTGCGTCAGCTTTGACCACTAACACCAGACCTGAGCCTTTTTAAGTCTGAGACAAGAAGCGACGGCTGCACTCAAAGACCTGAACCCTCTGACATGTTTTGTTTTCCCCAACCAAAGCAGCATGCTACACCACAGGAATTATGACATACAACTTCCAAACAGGATTGGAAGGCAAACCATTTCAGCTGTTGGAGTTGCCCACACAAAACAGGATAGAAATCACAAGGTAGTACACGTCACAGGGTTCTGAGCCTGAGCCAACTGGTTTGGATGGGTGTTTGCGGGTCCTCGTTGTGATGGGACAGTGTTTCAAGACAAACAGCTATCAGTCAGCAGTGGCAGCCTTTCTCAGGAGACGCAGCAGCAAGTTCCTCCTCCTCCTCACCAGGATAAAGGACCTTGGCAGTGAGGCCACTCTTTACACCGTCCCATCCATCGCGGGTAACGATCTCGCCCATCTTCATCAGCTCGTAGATGTCTCTGGTCAGCAGCTCAAACGCCCGGTCCACGTTGCTGTTGCACTTGGCCGACGTCTCGATGTAGCGGATGCCCAGCTCGGCAGCGAGCTGCTCCGCCTCGTCCCGGCTCACCTTGCGGTCCTTGTTCAGGTCGCTCTTATGGCCGATCAGGATGTAGACCATGTGGTGAGGCAGGATGTGCTCACTCACCTCCTTGTGCCATTCTCGCACGTGGTCAAAGGTTTTGCGGTTGGTCAGGTCGAAGACTAGCAGTCCCCCAACAGAGTTGCGGTAATACGACGTTGTGATTGACCTGCGAGAAAAAATATGAACACAAAGTTGTGAGGCAGAGCTGAGCTAATGCAACCAGTGTGCAACAAATGACAACACTAAAATAAACAGAGACGAGCATTAGAGGAGTTTACTGTACACCTGAGGAGGAAAATTATGAGTTAGAGAAATAAAAGTTTTGTTAAATTGTTTTTTCGCTGGATTCTCTTCCTGAATCAACCACTGACCACCGAGCTACTGCAGCCCACCGGAGCAGAGGACTCCCTGAGAGGGGGAATGTGTGTTTGTAGGAGCGATTTAAAAACAGGAAGTGGCCTGTCTAATGTTGAGTGACAGATTGTTCCAGAGTTTATGGCACATGAATAAAAAGCCCGATTTCCTCTGAGCTTCAACCAAAAGCAGCTGGTCAGATGATCTCAGCGCCCGAGAAGGAACATAAGGTTGAAGAAGGTCAGAGAAGCATGAGGGTGCAAGGTCATTTATGCCTTTAATGGTCAACAGGAAAATTTTACAATCAATTCTGATATGTGCTGGGAGCCAGTGAAGGGAGGACAAAACTGGTGAAATGTGATCAAACCTACGAGTTCCTGTTAAGAGTGGAGCTGCAGCATTCTGGATGAGCTGGAGACGTGAACGAGAAGCCTGACTGACTAAAACGTGTTACAGTAGTCCAGCTGGGTTGTAAAAAATGTGAGGACTAATTTTTCAAGGTCAGAGCTGGTCAACACTAAGCTTAGCTATCTGCTTTAACTGGAAGAAGCTTTTCTGTAGAACAGAGTTAATATGTTTATTAAACTTATAATCATAGTATATAT